CCCAAAAAAAAAAAAAAAAAAAAAAAAAAAAAAAGAGAGAGAAAAAATCCACTGAAAATAACAGCTTCGTCGTCACCACCCGCCACACATTCTTCTTCTTCCACAGCCACCACCACCTTCCCCATCCATTTCATCTGCTTCTCCAACCTTATCCCCCACCAATCTTCACCTCCATTTTTCTTGATTTTTGTCTATTTTACATAAAAGAAATTCTATTTTTCTTCGCACTTAGAAATTGAGAAGAATATAATCAATTGTCACTAGTCTTCGTTGTATAAGTTTGATTCTAGAGCGTTTATATGTCGATGAAACTAGAAATTTGGCTGGATTTTGAGGTATTGTCGTTGCAACTGCACTGCTGTGGTGGCAACAACCTTGCCGATGACTTGTATATGGGTAAAACCAGGATGTTCACTACCCACATGAACAGCAACAACACACAACAGTGTACATTGAGAAATCCTCAAGCTGTATCACAAATTGGACAAGAGCAACACAACATCAACAAATAATTCCTCAAACGACAACTTGAAATTATAGAAGTTTGGGGGAAAAATCATTTCCTTCGGAGAAATGATGTACCAAACGACAACTCGAAATTATAGAAACATGTTTGGTACAGTTTAAAATCCAATTAAAATCAAAATTTTAACCGTTATTTCACTGTTTTAGTCGTCAGTTTTGAATTCTTCTCTCACAAGTAGGACCCACTTTATCTCTAACTGTAAAAAAATCAATTAACAAAATCCCTACCAAACAAGTACTAAGTTTTTTTTCCCAAATGATGATTGAAAATGTGAATTGGTGTGTGGTTTGAATTTGGGGGTGGCAAGTAAGGGAGGTGGGTTGTGGTTTGTGCAGTAAAGGGGACAAATATTTATTTTCGAATTTTTTTCTTATTTTGTTTGGTTTTCTATAATATGAGATTAAAGGCTCCGTTTATTTTTCATTTTCACAAAAATGAGAATAAAAAATATAATCGTTATCGGCCTCACAAAAAAAATAGAAATTCAAATTTTGTGACTTGATATGATGGATAATGATCATATTTTTCAGTTTAATGAAAAAAGAATGAGAAACAAATAAGAGCTAACTAAGTTATTATTTTGTCCTTACTAAATTTGATCAAAATCAACTATTTTGGTCAACTAACGATCAAATGGATTCTATCAATTTAGATTACAACTGCATATTTATTAAATGTTAGGCACATTCACTGTCATAAAATGAAAGTTAGGGTAAAGTCTGCAAAAATCGTAAAGGTTTGGGACGGTTGCTACAATTTTCCCTATAAATAAAGATAATTTCCTTTAAAAACTTTTCTACAAAAAGTAAAAGTAAATGTCATGCTAAACGAACCCTAATATGTTTACATGTAACGAGTAATATATACTTTGAGTTTTACTAATATGTTTAAAATGAATTATGCTTAATTTTAAGATTAGAGCGCGTTTAAAAAAAAAAGTTAATAATGTAAGTTTAGAATGAACAAAGATTGACATCGAATGCTATTAAGACACACACACAATATATATATATATATATCACCCTCATTTCCTTCTCTCTATTCTCACCTCCAGAAACCCTAGTAGTTGTTTGATACTAACAATTTCATTTTCAAAGTTACGAAAATTATAGAGGAACAATTTTAACGGATTACTTAATGAATAATCCAGTAAATCGTGAAATTTTTTTAAATTCCTTTCTTGATGATTTTTTTAAAAAAAAAATTATATGTAAGGGTATATATATACACTAATAAAAATAAAGGAAAATACACAGAATTTTCGATGACAAAAGAATTTTAGAGAAGTGGGCCTCAAGTGAGTAAAATAATCGAAAAAATAATTCACCCTCGTGCTGTGTCTATTCTGTAACTAATCTAAAAAAATATATAATAATAATAATAATAATAATTTGCACGTGGAGCAAGGTTGTAAAAATTTGAAAGCGAATTCTGTGGTACAGCACCTTGTGGCAAGTGGCGTTCAAATATGACCGTTGCAAGTACAGACTCCCAACTCTATTTCTCAATTACCAATTCAAATCGAATCAATACATTTACACTCACCATTCTCTCTCTATATCTGAGTGCGTGAGTGAGTGTTTTTATTTTCTTTTTTCCCTTTCTAATGGCGATTGCTGCTGCGTCTAAACAAGAGCAGACGGTATGGGAAAACTTCATTTTTTATTTATTTATTTATTTATTTTTTTTAGTTATTATATGAATTTAGCGTTATTTGAATATGTTTGTTCAGAGAAATGAAGATTTATTGCTTCTCTTTTTCCGTCCGATAGATATGACGTTTTCAATTTTGAATATTTGCAATTTTTTAGGCCGTTGATAAATGTGATTTGGAAATTGGAAATAAGTTTTTTTTCCCGACATTAATTAAAATTAGGATTTCTTTGATTTTGGGATTATTGTTGCAGCCGTTGCATTATATTTTGATTTAAATAGGTAAGCATTTGGAAGGAAATTTTAGTTGTTTGAGAGTTTTATGAATTGTTTTTCTTTAAGATTTCTAAAGATTATCTTCGAAAAGGGGATCAGAAAATAATCACTTGAATATGTGGTTTTGTAAATTAAGGCGCAGGATTAGGATTTGCATAAGAAGGTTTCCTGAGTTAGGTTTAATATTGCCTTCTGTGATATGGACTCATATTTCATGCAATTCCATGGTGCTGAAAAAGCAAGTTATGAAAGTAAATATTTCATGCAACTCCACGATGCTGAAAATGCAAGTTATGAGTCATAATTTTTGGTGAAACAAGACACTGTTAAGAGTTTTTCTTATTTTCTCAAATTTTGACTATGAGAACCCTGAATTATTTGTGTTGTATTTATTTGAGTGTTTTTCTGAGGAAATTGTGCACTAGAGACCTGCGATCCTCTAGAAAGGATCCCTTGCAGAAAAGAAAATGATTTTCTGTGAGGGGAAAAAAGGCATAAAATCATGTTTATGCATGCGACAATGATACATTACTTGTGCAGGCTTCTTCGGAGAGTGTGGCAGCAGAAAAAAAGAGATGGACACTCAATGATTTCGACATAGGAAAGCCTCTAGGTAGAGGAAAGTTTGGACATGTATATCTGGCAAGGGAAAAGAGGGTAACTTCTCTTCATACCTATTCATTTTTATTTTTTTTGGCATCTAAAACTTTCTCATCCATGGAGCTTGATAGTTATTAAGTTACTTGAAAGTACAATACCCAAACTACGATAAGTTCGAATGGCTTCACACACTATCTGCAGCAAAAAAAAAAAATAATAATAATAATCTATATTTTCCAGTATTAAGCCATCAAGTTTTAGATTTCAACTCCCAGAGAGAAGTCATACTCTAGAAATTGCCAAATGCACAAATCTTTTCAAAAAGGGTCTACTTACCTTTACAATATTCCGGATTGTATCATAGCTCTAACTAGTCATTAAGAAAAATGAGTTTTGCATCTCTCTGAGGCTGGGGAAACAAAGAGGAGTGGGAAGAGATCTAAAAGCGAGACTGCAACTACATGGGATTACACCAGAGGAAAGACCAAAATCTTCCTTGACGTAGCTTGAAACTTCAATTTTGCAAAATGAATATTTTGATTTATTAGCTAGTAATCAGCGTGGAACCTCTGACCACTTCATCTAAATTTAAACTATTATAGAGGGAACATATTTATTTATTAAGGATACATACCCCATCGATTCATTTTTTCAATAAAAGCTTGATAGCTGCACAATTCTGATACATTGAGGTTTGAAGCCAAGGTCCAATACCTGTTGTCATACCATGTCTAATAACCTCATCTAAAATCTTTAAGCTGTTATAGAAATTTAGTCTTCGACAGTCATTGATTCTGGTATTGATTCCTTTAGGAAGCTAAACATAGTGAACTGGAATGTGATAAAAAAACCGGTAATGATGCCTTGAGATTTGTTGATATTAGTTATATATTTTCCAAATGGAAGGAAACAAGATATGATTCTCAGGACATATTTGGAGTATTTTCTGTGCTGTGGCATATTTTCATATCGTTTACGAAAAAAGTAATCTCATTATTGCCTGTTCTAGCAAAGTCAACATTACATTAAGACCCAATCCAAATCTCTGTAGAAAGTGCTAATCTTTAGTTCCTAACCGTGGGAATCTAAAATCTGTCTCTTTACTTCGATTAGAGCAATCATATTGTGGCGCTGAAGGTGTTGTTTAAGAGCCAGTTGAAACAGTCTCAGGTCGAGCATCAGCTTCGTCGGGAAGTTGAAATACAGAGCCATCTTCGGCATCCTAACATTCTACGACTCTATGGTTACTTTTATGACCAGGTACAGTCCATCTTGTTTGGTTTATGGTTGAATGCTACTTTATATAAGACCTATCCGTAACAAAATTAAATGCAGAAACGAGTGTATTTGATCCTGGAGTATGCCGCAAAGGGGGAACTCTACAAGGAGCTGCAGAAATGCCAACATTTCAGTGAAAGACGTGCTGCTTCTGTGAGTACTCTTTTCGAGTTTGTAAGAAATCGATTCTCATTGGACATTTTCTTAAAAAAAAAGTTTAATTAAAATAGCAAAAAAAAAAAACCTACTGCCTGACCACCAATTCTCGCCGCCCCACCCCAAACTGCCTATCACAGAACCAGGGAGGATGCAGTGGTGTTTTCCTTCTTTTTCGTTTTCTTTATCTTCTATTTTTCATTTTTTTATTGAGACTAAGTTGGAAACCAACTTGTTACAGTGCAAATAGGTTTCTGACCTTCAGTCCGATTTTTTAAAATTAGAACTCATTTATGCATCTCAAGTTCTTTGCGTTCAGATGGTTTTGGTTATCTAGTTAAAATATTTTACTTTTAGCTGTGGAAATTTGACTAGAAAGTAACCATTTTGTATTTGTGGGCTTGTACAGTATGTTGCATCATTAGCTCGGGCCTTGATATATTGTCACGGGAAGCATGTGATACATAGAGATATTAAACCTGAAAACCTTTTGATCGGAGCTCAGGTAAATAAAAGCATTTGTAAGTTGGCCATTTCTGTTTGTTTATTAGAAAAAAAATCAGCAGTCTTTTCTAATTTAACGTTTCCAATTGCCAGGGCGAACTAAAGATTGCAGATTTTGGTTGGTCAGTGCATACATTTAACCGAAGACGAACCATGTGCGGCACCCTAGATTACCTTCCGCCTGAAATGGGTATGCTTTACTGCAGACCTAATTTTTCTAGGATTTAGTGATTCAGACTTAGCAGGATAACACGCAGATTGGTGGATTCTACTCATTTTTCATTTTGAAAAGGATTTGTCTTCTTCATATTTCATAGTTTTTGTCTTTATCCATACTTTTCATTTCATCCATCCTCTCCCAGATGAAGCATGCCTGTCCAGAGTAGGGTCGTCAGTCATACGTAGGGGTGGGCGCGGGTCGGTTCGGTTCGGTTCTCTTTAGAACCGAACCGAACCAAACTTTTCGGGTATCTAGTAAATGGAACCGTCGGGTCCAAATATAATTATGGAACCGTTCGGGTTCGGTTCCATTCGGTTCGGTTCGGATCGGTTCGGTTCCGTTCGGTTCTGTACTATAATTAAATTTTTTAACATTTATAACAACGTTATATAAATACGACTAATGATACATTCAATAGTTTTGGAATGTCAGAGATTAGTAAACTATCTTGTTCAAATGATCGCTACGATCAAAGCTTCAGTCGGGGAAAGTCACGGCTTCGATCGGAGGTCAGAGTGTCGGTCGACGATTGTATAGGTTTTGGAATATTAGATAGGCTGCGAGAGTGAGTGCGAGAGTCGAGACAACGTTATGCACTTTATTGTAGGTGCTTAGGGTTATTTAGTGGATTTGATTTGTTTGGCTAAGAAATGAAACAATAAAATGGGTAATTGGGCCAAAAATTAAAAAATTAGAAATGAAACAAATTATTGGGCCAAAAATTTGGATTTAGAAATCATTAATTTGTTAATTTGTTTAGAAAAAATTAAAATTAAAATAATTTGATTTACTCAATATAAAAAAAAATTAGAAAGATTCGGTTCTTATTCGGTTCTTCGGTTCTTGGTCTAGAACCGAGAACCGAACCGTACCCGTCGGTTCTCAATTCAAATACCCGTTCGGGTATTTAATTTGACAAGAACCGTCGGGTTCGGATCGGTTCGGTTCGGGTTCGGTTCGGTCGGTTCGGTTCGGGAGATTTGCCCAGCCCTAGTCATACGGCCTTATATTGGGAGGGCAAGATACAATATTGTTGCACACCGTATGAACCCCATTGTTTTTTAGGACCCCACGTCCTTAGAGAAATAATTTTATTTATATTTTTTAATTTTTTATGAACCACATTTCTCCATTATTGCATTTCCAACATGCACTGATCAACGGTTTGGTGTTAAATTTACAGTGGAGAGCGTGGAGCATGATGCAAATGTGGACATATGGAGCCTTGGAGTCCTATGCTATGAGTTTCTCTATGGGGAGCCTCCTTTTGAAGCAAAAGAGCACTCAGACACGTATAGGAGGTAATCTTTTTTTTCATTCTTTCTTTAATGATAACAGCATAAAGATAACAGCATAAAGAAGGCAACCAGTTATTGCTCAAAATATTTGGTGAATCACCCCCTCAGATGTGATGATGTGGATAGATTATAAATTTTTTTCCTTTGGTGTTATATGACAAATGAAATAAAATCTCACCTATACTATAAGCCTAATATCAGTTTTCATATTCATTTAACACGTGATGCCTACAAGTCAAATATTAACTTAGCAAATGTGAGGCACAATTAGTCGTTGCAATCCGCCCTCCTCATAGATCTTGTGTTGAGCTTGGAAGTATAGCCCTTCCTAGGTTGTCCAGTTTACAAGAAGAGTGGATGCAATGCAGACTTTGTCATTCCATTGGGGTTTAAAGTGAATCGTCACGGTTCTATTTTCTGACGAATAAATTGTACACAACAGTGACTTTTAAGATCTGAAATTGCATATAGCTTGCTGGCTGAATTAATTATACTTCTTGTTTTCCAATTATTTTCACAGGATTGTCCAGGTGGATCTTAAATTCCCTCCAAAGCCCGTAGTCTCATCAGCTGCAAAAGACCTTATTAGTCAGGTAAGTAAGTTTTATTGGGTTCATATTATTTCATTTGTGTTATTCTTGTCATTTGGATATTTTGATGACAGATGCTTGTCAAGGATTCTTCACGACGCTTACCCCTTCACAAACTTCTCGAGCATCCCTGGGTCGTGCAAAATGCTGATCCTTCGGGTACTTACAGGGTTTGATTATTAATTTCTTCCTCATGCTAGCGAGAAATATCTCAAGCACCCTGATAATCGGGTAATTCGATGTAAAATGTCCCTTGTGTCAAATATATCTGAGATGATGATGTGATCTTGTAATGAATATAAAAAGGGCTTTTCCATGCAAGATGCACTTATTACCGGCTTTCATCAGGAGATTTTAAAATCAGCAATATTGCTGCTGATTATGTAGTTAAAAAATCAATTTAAAATTCTTCCAAGTTTCGGATGTAAGCCTTATTATAATTGGATGGAGGCATTCTTTTCATTGCATTATGTTCTCATTCTGCTAATCCAATCCACATAAGTAGCTCTCTGATAATGTATCAAATTGCAACAATATCAATCCGTTAATGTGATGAAAGAATACATTAATATTACGCAGGAAAATTTCATTACTACAGTAGTTTGAGAATACGATTTCAAAATAAACAAATTTGTAAAAACCTCAAAAATTAGGCAGTATGTGACTGTGATCTATTCTAATAAATGATTCTGACTCTATCACAAAAGGTTCTTTAATTCCAATAAAGAATTCACTGGGGCCTTCTATGGTATAACCTTTTCAATTGGGATTTTTTAATCATTTTTAAAATAACTATTTGCAACTTATCAATTCAAAATGGACTTTTCGAGTACCTAATGTTAAAAAAACTGCAGAATGATATATTTTATTAATATCAGAAGAGTGAATGAATTTGCAATTTGATGTCTTTATAAACATAGTTTCTTTAAAAAAATTTATCTCCTCATCGTCAGTGCTTAAGGTTTATCTAAACGTTCATCTCTCAGGATAAAATTGATTGAATATACATATACTGTAATAAAGAATTAACAGGCTAGGAGAACCTGGATGTTAACTTTCTCCATTGACATAAACATAAGGAGTTGGGAATTTGACATTCGCATACGCAAATTGTGCTCACACACAAGTTCAAGGCCCGAAATGCTAATTTGATCCTTGATTTGCACTCCCTGCTTCCACACACGAAGAGCGCTTTTATGCTACACATGATTACACCCATAAAAAATGTAATCATATATAAACTGGTATTTGCCTTAATAAACTTCCTACGTGAGATAAACTAAATTATTTTTCTCTCCAACATATAAACATTTTCCAATGGATTAATCTTATTTGGTACTTCTCTCCAACCTATAAACATTTTCCAATGGATTAATCTATTTGGGTACCTAATAGATTACCTAATGGTTTACCGAATTGACAAGTGGCAACCCCTTATTAGAGGGGTGGCTTAGGTAAATCATTTGATACTTGTAGCATCTTCCTTTTCCAATTCATCAACTATGAACTTCAGTTTCTCATTCAACCAAACATCAATATATAATTTCGATGTTCTCACGGAGGAGAACACAAACCCACTTTGATCTTCCAAAACAAATGAACGAGTCCAACTCAAAATTATGCCAAAACAAACCCCCTTTATAAGTCATTTTTTTAACACTCATTGGTGCAAATTGCAGCTCTTCGACAATATTAAAGAAGAAAAAGAAAACTTAAGATTTTGTTCTTCGCATATTTAGAAACCCAATGGGAATCGCATTGCATTCTTGTCCAAAGATGATAATACAGATTACTTGCATAATTATCCAAAGATGATACGGACGATACTTGCTTCATAGACAAATGGAACATTTTGGAATTGATTTCCTCTAATAATAAAACGTCAATATTAATAATAACTCCAAAGATGATACAGACAATAATTGTTTCATAGAGATAACAATGGAACATTTTGGATTTAACTTTGAACATTAAATATTCACTACACACAGCCGATGAAATACCGTAATAGACCGATAATCGCATAATACGTTTCTACATGATCAGATTAATCCTGCATTATGGGATACCTCAAAACAAGCATCAGTACATATCTGGCGGATTTAGTTTCCCGTTTTCTCATCTTTACGATTCTCCCCATTATCCAGCATTTGAGTTAAAGGGACATGCTCAGTTTTGGCCTCTTCGACATCAGTAGGTCCCAAGAAACTCGGTTGGTTGGTCGAAGACAGAAGCCTTGCCCACATCCTGTCGGTTATGACAACCTTGTTTTGCCGTTCATTGATGCGCTGCAAGAAAAAGAAAAATTATTAAATACACAACAATAACTAGTCCAGATTATCATTACATGCTTGAACAGACCCATAGAAACTCTTGCAAAGGGCCATATCAAGTGACCTAGATGACTACCTCAGTAGCTCTTCATAAAAAAAGATGTTCTTCTCTACTATTTTTGTCTTACGTCAGATAATTGTAATGAAAGTATAAAATTAGATGCTGATAACATAGTGATGAAATTCTGGAAATTCTGGGTAGCACATTATTCTCTAACAAAACACGCCAGCTAAAATTGTTGAAGATTTGGGAGGGAAAGAGGAATCACTGACTACTTTATAAAAGATAAAAGTTTAGTTACAACAAGAATGTTGAAATCAATCTAATTTACCGTAACCTTTGATATATCATAACTATCTGATCACGGTTAGGTGCTATTTGGAAAAAATAATAATAATAATACCATGGTCATTCCATAAACCTTGCACAGGACTCAACTATGTCACTAACTCAAACCATTTCAACGGATAGACATCTATATAAAGTTACTTAGTTCGGATTATACCTTTAAATTGGTTGCCGCTTTACGCCAACTAACTACTGCACTAAATGTACTACGAACTGCACATAATTTTTCCAGACATGGAATTGTAACATACTATTGGTAGTAATAGAAATTGATTTTTCTGTATGTAGTCTTTTTTTCATTTTTTTCCTTGGGGACTACCAATCGTACAGCAGAAAATATTTCAGTTCATTCAATTGATGCAAAAAAAAAAAGAAAAAGAAAAAAGAAAAACGAGGTCAATTGAACTTACAAGTTAGTTTCGGGGCACATGGTTATATTTCCACAACACGCAACAAGATTTTCATATTCTGTTCTAATATGACAGTTTCTCAGGCACACGAGTTCAGGTTAAAACTCATTGCTACCCAAAATTATCAAAAAAAAATTATAATCAAAATCCCCAGACACATCCTCATATTCTCATGATAGACCCAAAATTTAACAGATAAAGCTATGGTAATTTTCTAAAGCAACCTAGAACTCGGCATGACAAGACAACTAGTAATCTAATTGTGCAGGACATCGTATGACAACTATTTTGGATTTTAAACATCTTATAAAAATAATTCAATTATCCAAAGTGTGAAATTATTGATTAGACTTACATTGAAAGGAACATATGTATGCCGACCATTGACGAGCCCGACAGTGAAGCCTGTATACCCTGCCATTGCTCCATGAACAGCACTTTGAGCAAGGAGTGTGCAGTTTACATTATCAGATGCATTGCTTGGAATAGCACGAATCATGTAAGTTGGATCTGCCGAATAAATTTGTTAGGACCCTTTTTTGCAAAAGCATACAAGATAGGGAGTGATGCTACTGACCTATATATTTAAGTGTAATCGGCATTTTTGGTGGTTTTGCAAAATGATCCTGTAAAATATGAAAATCAACTTAATACAGAATTTTGTAGACATACTCATGCTTTCAGTAAAAAGCTTTGAACTGTCATCTGAACGAGAAGAAAATTCCCTAAGAACAATTCCAGCAATCTTGACGTTGTTGCTTTAGTCAACAACAAAAACAACAAAGCCTTTTCCAATTTGGGGTCAGCTAGCCACTCTTTCATTTCATCACTGATAAATCTATTGGAAGATATAAAGCAACTACCACTTGGTCTATGCTTTGCCATTTTGACAATTTCTACTGACATCTCACCAGTCTTATCAACCGGGACCTCTTAAGTAATAGACTAATGAAAATCAATAACCATATGGGTATCAATCAGTTCATGAAAACCGCCATCAAAATAATGATCCTTACCTTGATTCTATGAGAAATCCACAAGCCAACATCTTGAAGTAGCTTGTTCCCTGAAGCATCTTGTTCATTTTTTGCATTCTTGCTTTCTGCTGCTAGAAGTTCCTGTCCTGCTCCTTCAGCTATCACAATAACCATGTGGCCATTTTCTTTGAGCTTTTTCTCTATGTATTCAAAAAGTCCACCTTCTCCTTCAACATAGAAGGGAGATTCTGGAATCAAACAGCAGTCCACATCTCGGCTAGCCAGAGTAGCATTCATTGCAATAAATCCTGCATACATAATTTCAAAAGATGATAGAAGTGGGACTTAATAATGCTGGCAGAAGATAACAAGATACATAGCAAGAAATACTTTGCATATAAGTCTGAAGAGGTCCAGGGAAAAGTTTGGAAGGCCAGCAGTAAAGACGCTGCATAGTAAGCATCATCCATGGAGCCCCCAGAAGGGGATAATCTATCAGATCTCTGCAACTTATTTGATTTTACCATCGCTTAGTTGCTAAGAAAATCATATGTTTACTATTTGGCACTTTAAAAGTTTCCAGTAGTGATTTCACAACATCATTTCTCATATCTAAATCATTTTTATACCCAATTCTTCTGCTCTTTAGGCAGCAAAACCCATTTTCTCAAAAATAGGTGACATGCATAAAATTTCTATATGCTTTACGACAAAGATGGATTCACAAATCCCACTCCTCAGAAACTTGAAAAGGAAAAGAATAAAATATAATGATGATTCCCACATTACCATTTACTACCAAAAATGAAGTATTGTATAGGTTTATCTTACCACTGTAGCGTCCCATCAACTTCACAACACCAATGCCATTCTCTGCACTTAGAGCTTCAACATGTGCAGCGTTGATGGCACGTTGAGCCTCCTCTACAGCAGTATCGAAACCAAATGACTTGTCAATAACCTGATAACACAAGTCAATGCAAATCTATGTCCATAAATTTGCAGAAAAAAGCACAATGCAGCACAAAACCAAATGATTTGCCAATAACCTGGTGACAGGTGACACATGTCGGTGCAAAATTAAGGCTTGTCACAAATGGAGAAAAATATGTTCATTTGCAGAAGACAGCAATATGAAATTGAAATGTTATGAGATCTTTATACACTGATCAAATGAAAATATTATCACAAGACAATTTTAGCATTAACATCAATATACGAACTGGGTATAAATTGTTAAAGTTAGTTTATTTCATATAATTGTTGACCTTTTGTTAGAATAACTTGGTATTTTATTTCATATAATTGTTGACCTTTTGTTAGAATAACTTGGTATTTCATCTCTGAAATATGGATGCTTTTGACCATTAGGCAAAAAGAAAATTATTCAAATCAACAGTAACTTGGGGTTTTCTTCTTTGTCGTCATATTAATTACTTGTAATGCCACTAAAAAAATCACAATAGAATCTGTGCAAAGAACAAGTCCCTCCAATGATATATAAAGGATGACAGATACCGGAATGTCATTATCAATTGTTTTGGGAATGCCAGCAACAGCAACTTTCAAATTACGCCTTCTAATTTCCTGAAAAATTTAAACAAGGTAACAGAAAATTAATACGAAGGATATTCACTGGAATAGTAATCGCCTCAGAATTTAAAATAAGCCAAGAAGGTATAATGAACTCAGTATCAAACATGAGTTTTTATTTTTATTTATTTATTTATTATTATTTTTTTTATTTTGAAGAAACTACATGAATCCATTTATTTGTCCAATTTTATACAACAGAATAGAAGATGTTGAAGGAGTGAAGTGGTGGAAAACTGAAAGCTTAAAAATGCAAAAGCAGCTAGAAGTTTCAATAATAGCGATAAAGCTAAAGAATAACTGCACACATTAGGTTAGTGAGAAATGGACTTGGAAAGGTAGTTAAAGATCAAGTACGGAAAATGATAGACAAAATATATTTTTGGGGCACCTGGCATAAGAAGTAAATATTAGATACAGAAGTTACTATGACAGTGCCCTTCAGTAAGAAGCACGATGAGAATGGTCTCTAGGGTTTGGAGGCACCTTTTAGTTAATAAAAGATGGGTGCAATCATCCATAAATAGGATACCTCATAAATTACAGCTGCTCCTTTCTGAGTTCCATCGCCTCCAATTATATAAACCTGAACAGTAACACTGATAATCAGAGATGGACTGTAGCATATTGTATGCCATAACAGTAGTTCAGAATATTAAAGAGAAAGTTACATTCATAACATTGGTAGAGACGATACACACAATCCTATAAGTAAAACTTCAACCTTACCTGATTAATTCCACGGTCCTGGATACTGTCAACTATCTTCATGGTATCATGGCCACCTCGAGATGTTCCCAGGATTGTCCCACCACGTTTATGTATGTCATTTGTAACTTTTGGCGTTAAAGTAACAGTATTCTTAGAATAGAAACCCCTGAAACCTCCCTATAAAAAAGAGATACCACCATTAGCTGATAAACATATTAATAACATAGGATTTGCAAAGATATGATAGGGTAAAAAACATCATCAGCTGATGAATAAGCCAACAGCAGACCAACAGGTGTTCCTTCACTTCCGATATTAAGCAGTACATTCTCTAGGAATGTGCAAATCAATTCAACCATAACCCACTTTATAAAAGTTATAGAGATATATTTAAGTTAATACTAGATATTTAACGTTCACAACACACTTATGATCATCATACAACACTACCTATGGACACCAAAACCAGCTTATTTGATCCATTTAGCCATCTCTGGAGATATTGTCATTTATGAGCAAAATCTAAAATCCAAACACTGATATTTAAAACATAATGTGAGTCACCAGGAAAATGCTATAAAATAACCTACTTATTGATTCTGTTTGTGTGTGTATTAACAAGAAGAATTTTAAGAATATGCTAGTGGCTCAAGTTACCTTACTCTATTTAAAAGTATTAGGGAGAGTGCAGACAGAGGGCATCGCAATCTACAAGTCAAACCTATTACTCGTTGAATGTAAAACAACAGAAACTGTCTTTGCCACTGCAATTGCATTGAAGAAGGTAACAGATATCTAGCGTTCTAAGACCGTGCTTAAAGAATAAAATTTTAAGCATGCCAATGTGAATATTCACCATACACAAAGAAAGATACGACTACCTTAGAAGTGAAGTAAGAACCTCAAAACAATCAGAATGATGAGTTAATATTATAACATGGATTAGATATTTGCTCATGTATTCTTCCAGGAAGCAGGATGAAAGACATAAGTAACAGTAGACCAAATGTTTTAATCATAGTCTTTGGTAACAAGTGCTAACATAAATTCAAATGATGATACTAATGCCAATCAATTTCAAAGTGAATGCAGCTCGGACTTACATCAATTCCGAGGACTTCATTAACACCATACATATAATCAAGGCTGTGTACAATCTCCCTGATCACTGTATTTATCCCAGGACACAACCCGCCACATGTTACAATACAAGCTTGCACTTCATCTGAAGCAAAATAAACCTGTGCATTATGGAAAAAGTTCGGTGAAATTGCATACAGGTGAATATCCTGCACTTATGAAGAAAGAGGAAATACCTTTTGACGTGGTCCTGCTCGTCGAAAATGTACCCCTCTTGGCGTGTCCTTGTGAACAACAATCTGCAAAGAGACCAACAAACTGAATTAATCACGTTTGAAAATGGTTGAAATCCTTACAAGGTGCGTCGAATTACCAGTTCTGATTTTTCTGAATCCAAATTGAAATATATGGTGGCATGGGATATGAATCCGTAAATTCTTAAAAGAATGTAGAGTACTCTAGACACTAACTCATAGGCTGGCCTCATCAAATTAAACAATGAGCACAGTAGCGTACAACAGTCAACAGCCTCACAACATAGATAAGCAATATCAATTAGTCTCAATACATGAAGAAAAACAGATTCATCCTGCAATATCTAAGAAACATGCATTGTGTGCAGCATCCATTCTACAAATGCGACAGGCCAGTAAAAAATTCAACATTTTTTTTTTCTTTTCGAAATTAATGCATTACAGTCTTCTTTGCTTTCTTCTACGGTAGTCTTATCATTGCATTAGCCCATTTCAGACCATGGATAGCTCATAAACTGATTTTTATCGACACATATTCATGATTACATCCACATAAACATGCATCATCAAGAAAGAAGAGTGTGGTGAGGCAAGCACAGTCCCGTGAAGCCCCTTCTCCCCAAACAAGGGGAAAAAATAGATCCATGAGACCTTTCCACGAGTAACACTGGCTAAAGAAAAGTTGAAAAATATAGCTCACCTTTTGAGGGACAGAATCATCCACATGAACAAAATATTGCCTGAAATTGTAGTAAACATAATAAGTAGTTTGTGATCATCAAGGTTCTGAAAATAACAACAGAGGTAACTAAAAAAGTGCTCCATATTATCAGTTTGATGTATGAGAAGAAGTAACTCACTTAACAACGGAATATGCACTATTGGATCGTAATGGATTGGGATAAGTCTGCAAAAAAACAAACATAGAAATGAATAGCTGAGCTCCAACAATTAAGAACTGGAAGCTCATACATCCAATGGAAAATATATGTATATTAAGCATGAAAATACACTTTTTTCGTGTCGGGTGTTCAGTCTAGAATCATCCCTTTACCAAGAAGTCTAATTAACATAAATGGTTTCCTTAATTTTATTGTTTTGTTTGCCGAGCGTTTCTCAACTTGGTTTCACTTGTATGGAACTTGCTCAGATATGTGGCTAAGCCCTAAAGTCTTGAATGAACAATTAAATTAATGTTTTATCCCGATGTTCATCCAAGTTGCACCTAATAAATTTTGACATGTGGAAAATGTCAAAATGTCTGAAATGTAGTACATCAGATTTGCTAGCGTACAAGAGTTTTCATTATTCCAATAAAAAACTATCATAAATGGATTCATCAGCCAAGATTTTCAAATCAAATAGTAAAAGTTTCTGACATGATGAATACTGTGATATACTGGGGATGAGTGTGCGACGCAGTTTATGCAGTAATTTCTTGTGCTATGTATTCATTAGAAGACAAAGAATACATAATAACCCTTAAAGCAAGGGAAACTTGAAAATGAAGCAATAATTAATTGCGTCATGAATTCCCTTATCGTTTTCCAGAGGAACATGTGCATCTTAAAAACCTGCCCTTACGTGTCCAATCCTGATGTATGTGTGACTGATATTACTCATCTCGATTTAGATAATAGCATTTATCTTTCCTATTGCTTTCAATAAATAGTAATTATAAGTTTATCTTACCAAATCAACTTTCTAAACAAAACAGCAAATGTCTCAGAAGACTTTGACATGTAAAGTACAGTTCGTTGATTCCTTGACTAGTCACATACAGTTATGCTACCCAGTAGGTGCAATATCACTATATTTCCTAAATCATATTGTTTTTGCCTTTCTCGTACCATTCCATTATCTGCAAGTCTAGGAAGTTAGATCGTGTCCACCAGTTATCAAAACAGTCCCAAGGAGACAGCATTCTCCCAAAATAAATAGTTATTAGGCCTAAACAAGCCATCACCGGCTATGAGAGAGAAAAAGTTCGTCCTTGTTTTCTTAAAAGAAGCAACTCGCCAGGTCTTTTGAAAAAAAGGCGATTAAAGTTAGCTTCCACCACTCTTAAGTTACAGAGTTTATGAAGGAAGATATCAGAAGCTGATCACGATAACAGATCTGGATACTTGAATTTCCAGTTTGTCCATTATTAAATAAAAATTCCAAAAAGCCTAATTCATCATTAAATGGTCAAACACTTGATTCAAGGAATCAAAATTACCAATACAAACACACGCATACGAACAGACGCTTGTACTTGCATTTTTCCATTACTCAATGAAAATTCCACTAAATCAACTCCATTTATTTATAATAATTGATTCAGAAGTCAAAATCACTCACACAAAAAATCGATAAATACTTACAGGAAGATCGGCGATGTAATCAGTCAAATGAGGAACATCTTCCAGTACGTATCCGAACTCTCCATTGATCACCTTCATCTGATAACTGCTCTGTGATTCCATAGAATTTCCTTTCCCTCTCTATATCCAAATCTTAGCTGTTTCTTTCACTCAAAATGCAGAAAAAACACTGATTTGTGCGTGTTTGTATACTGTGCGAGAATGAATATCGTCGAAATAGGTCTAATCCTCGAACTTCGAAGTTTCAGTATTTATAGACTTTTTTAATTAATTTTTGTTAATCAAATTTCTCACGATAAATTTAACTATATTTGATTAAAACAAATAGAGGTTAAAAGTATTTTGAAATCGTAAAGATTGATTCGCCAGAATAAAAATAGGAATAGATCAACTTTATCGAAATTAAACTTTTTTTAAGCTTTTCAAATAAAAATCTACTTATAAGTGGATTTTAAATGGATGAGCTTTTTCTAGAATAAATAATTTTATATGACTTAGAGTAATTTATATGGACTCCTTTTTTTTAGGCAACCTGCCAATAGGTGGGGGACACATGTCCGTCGAATAATATTTTAACTTATATGCATGAAACAAATAATATGTTAGCAGGTATGATAAAATAATTAAAAAATATGTTCACGTTTGTTTCAACTAAAAGTTTGAATTAAAATTCAAATTAAAGTCAATAATTAATTTTAATTACAAATTTTATGAGGTTCACCACTTTTTAAACCACTTATTTCATTAATTTTTATCAAAATTTACTAAAAATTTAATTTTATTTGAACCAAACAGAGGAATTTATAGATTTAAATCATTCAACCATACGCCCTTTCTGTTAAAGTCTTGTTTTGACATATATTTTATAAAAATTAATGTTTCACAAAATTAATTTTAAACACAAGTCCATAAAGTACATATAATTTTCACCTTGAAAAATATATATCAAACAAGCTTTAAAACTAATACCATGAATTTTTTTTTTTTAATCAATGTAATAATAAATGTTGTTAAAGGTCTGACTAGCTGTCTCAATCAAGAATCGGATCACAACATGCTCTAGTTACATTATATTGACCTATGATTAAAAATTTGACAAAATAATCGATATACCGATCAGGTAAACCTTGAACCAGTAATATAACCATGATTTTGCTTGTTCTTAAATGTAATATTTTGTAAAAATTCTTGGATTATACTTGATGTACATTAAGGTGTCCACCCCCTTTACATGGAGGGGGCCCACTTCGAGACTTTTCTAACTATTCATCAAAGCCGATCTATAAGGCCTCTTGTCTCTCATCCCAATAATATCGGATGCGGGAATAGAACCTCCGATCAAGCTTAATCACAAGCAAATAAGAAATACTGGTGTTACTTCTTGGGATAGTAATAAATTTTATATTAACAAATATGAATTTGTATTTTAAAGGTAAAATTTATATTTACTATTGTAATTTCAAGGGTAAGTGAAAAAGAGAAAAAGTTACATAGACAAGAAGACATGAAATTTTAAAAAACAGGTGGCGCCATGTGGTACTTGGACTTTACTATATTTTCTCCGGTCCCTGGTTTTGCTCTTCATTTCTCCACTTTCGCTGGTTTTAGGTACCCTTTTGACCCATCTTAAATTTTGCAGTATTGGTCCTCAATCTACTACCCAGACAGTAAGTAAATCCTCTACTTTTTGATCTTGAATTTCTCCACTTTTGCTGGTTTTACTTTTAAGATCCTTTTTGGTCTACCTTAAATTGCATAATTGGTCCTAGATCTATTACTTACATATTAAGCTAATCCTCAATTTTATTTTTTTTAAAACAAACGAATACATCCTCAACTTTGAGTTGTAATTGCGCAAACAATCTATATACAGAAAAATGACCAAATTTTAGTTAAACCATAATTGGTCTTCGTGAAAACAGAATTTGCTTCAAGCTTGTAAACAGCAACAAAAGTTAAAAATAAAATCTAATAATTTCATAAAGCCAAATACGTGAGACTCAATTATTCAATCGGCGATTTAAAAATGATTTAATTGTTTCATCGTTCATGATTACTTGTGCAACTATAATGAGGGGATGAAAACTACTTTTAGGGATGACAATGAATGGGTCGGGCTTGTCAGAAATTTTTGAGACGCAGGGCGTGGCTTAAAATATCTTCATTTTATGTACTAGTATAAAAAAATTACCAAAATTTACATTATTGAGTATTTAATAGAGATTTTTAAGTGTGCTTTGTTTGACCTTCTCAAAGTTTTTCGTTATAGTTGAATTTTCTCAAAGTTTGGTCAGCCCTACCCATAGTAAATCAGCACTTCACTTTGATCCTCATAGGTAGAAGAACTTGAGTTCATTGGATCTCGCACAAAGACCGGACTAAGTCCTAAAAAAAATCTTTATGCTGCTTCAGGTAATGCACACTGCTAAAAAACAGTTTTTTACCTACGAAAAATTACCAATGGATTGCATCCGTTGGTGATTAGAAACGAATTATTCGTTGGTAAAAGTAATTCACTTTTAGTTACGATAATTAGCAATGGATTTTCCGTTGATAAAAATGACATCTCTTTACCAACCGATATTTCGTGTCTAATGTAATCGTTTAACATTTGGATCTTTCTTCAACGGATATTCCGTAGGTGATGTACCGAATATTACCAACGGATTGCATCCGTTGGTATTTAGAAACGGATTATCCGTTGGTAAAAGTAATTCACTTTTAACTACAATAAGCAGTAACAGATTTTTTGTTGGTAAATATAATATTTCTTTACCAACAGATATTCCGTTGATAATTAAAAACGGATTATCCGTTAATAAAAATGATATCTCTTTATCAACGGATATTTCGTGCCTAATATAACCATTTAACATTTTGATCTTTCAGCAACAGATATTCCGTTAGTAATTAGAAACGGATTATCCGTTAGTAAAAATAATTCACTTATTCTACATCGGAAGTTTACAACAATATCTTTGTAGTTGCCCTGTATAAATTTGTGGTCCAATAAGGAGTTAAACAATATTTTGACTTTTCAATTCAGTTGGCTAAAAATTAAAAAAAAATCATTATAATTATTAAATAAATAAATAAATAATAAAAAAAAAGTAATAACAATAATAAAAAATACATAAATAACTTTTTTATCATACGGTTATTTACAACATTGATTTTTACCAATTGTAATGGTAAATATTTACCAACGGAAAGTCGGTTGGTATTGGTTAAGACTTTTACCAACGAAAATTTCGTTGGTAAAAGATTCACACTTTACCAACAGAAAATTTGTTGGTAAAATGTTTACTCTTTATCTACGGCATGATCCGTTGGTAATTATCAGCGACCCTCAAATTACCAAAGGATTTGTGGTTACAAATATTCCATTGCTGAAGATTATTAGCAACGGATATTGAGATTTTAGGAACCAAAAATCCGTGTCTGAAACTCTGTTTTTTAGTAGTGGCATGGCTATATATGCACTGAACTGTCTCCTTTCCCTCTACTTTTTCGTCTTGTATCTGAACTTGAAGCTTTCAAGTTGACCAACAACTCCATTTTTCCGTTACTAACTGGAGCAATACTTTGTAGCATGTCAAGTGTTTTGTAGAGTAATTTGTCAATTAATGTTCTATTTCCAGCTCATATAATTAAATGGCTTGTGCGGTAGAGCAGAATGTACAATATTAAGCAACAAAAATAAGCTAACAAGTGATTTTCTGGTGTAAATCTACTTTGACCTGAATTTAAACCCGACACATAAACTCGTCTTTTTTCACGTTATACCTGTTGCATCCCAAGGGGAAAACACTTCAATTATATATATAAAAAAAAAACAATATCATCTTATTACAAAATCAAGTACTTTCAAATAGATCAAACAACGACTACGACAACGAGCTCCACTACTAAGCTAATTACGTGTCGTGCAAGCCTTTCACATGGAGTTAACCATGCCAAAAGCAAAAACTTCTTGTAATCGAGATACTAAATTTGAGAAATCGACGATCATGTTCAACACTTTCTACTCAAGCAATCATCTTTCCTTGTCATAGAAAGTCGAAAGTACTCCCTATTCTTTAACCTCGAAGGGCTTGTAGGTATTGAGAGCCTTATTAAGTCCTTGAATAGAGCCACATGCAGCTGCCAATGCAACAAGCAAGCAAACTAAATTTATGACTTGAAGAACAAGCCACCTCCATCTCCATTTCCTTATTTTACCCTTTGCAATGTACATTTGTATGGGAAAATACACAGTCAAGGGCCAGTATCCAAGGGCTCCAAGGAGGGCAAGAATGTCATTGAAGAAGGGAAACACCATTGCAAGAAGTGTTGTCATTATCACAAATAAAGTTCTCCAAATCATCCTCAGAAGGTTGATTCTCAACTTATGTTTTTTGACAATTCCTATGTTTATGAAGTATTCTTTTGTTATGAACTTTGATTTGGGCCATTTCTTGCTAGCCCATAATTCAACTGCACTGAAAATTGGCTGTGAAAATACCTGTTCAAATAATTCAAAATCATCACTATTCCACCCTAATCCCGATTTCGTGAGCAACAATAACATGCAAAGCACACAAAAAGACGTATAGGGGTTCACTATTTGTAAGCCATGTACACTTGTCACGTCGCATGTTTCAAGTGTAATGAAGAAGTGTGCAAAGGATTTCACGACTTTCTCGTCCCAAAAATGTCCTCTTCCCAAAATTCTTCCTATACGCGGGAAAGTTTAGGATGACATATTATGTATATAGATCCGCAATTTAGAGAACGTATGAAATTGATTCTAAGGAGGGCTAAAAATTGAGGTTAAGCTTGATTCGGATTTTTTGGGTGGACTGGATTTTTTCGGGATTTTGTGAAATAAAAAAGATGGACAAGTTTTATGAAGTAGCAAAGAGACGGGCCATCCCTAGTTGATTTAAGTTAAAAAATTGTTTGGACTTCACTTTGTCTAACAACTTTCGTAGCACAGTTAGAAAGGTGGTCTAGACAGTATAAAAGAAAAAGAAAAAAATACAAGGAAAAGGAATGAGTTTGAACCTGATATGCTCCAACCAGGTGCACCACAATGAAGCAATTGGCAAGATCCACCAACCAGAATGGCTCATAAAATCCAAATCCAGTTAACAAATTGCCTGGTGCATTGTTCCCAAATGCAGCATAGCCCAAGCACCCACACATCATATAGAATACTGTTGTAGCTGAAACGGCCATAAAATTGGCCTTTTTCATCACTTGGTTCTCCGGAGGAATTGCTTTTAAAGTATCCTTAGAAGAAATAAAATAATGCATCATAAGTAATCCTTTTTGTCAAGTCAAGCAATCATACGATGTACGATACACTCGATTGGATAGTACTAAACTTTGGTAAAGATTTTAAGTTAGATTTTTATCAAAGTCAAAGTCGAGCCACAACTTTTTAATCACATAATTCATCAACTTTTATCAAAATCTGTTAAAAATATGATTTTAATCTCTATCAAACAATGACTTAATATAACAAATCGTTAAAAGCACCACTAAGCACTTGACTAACAGCAAAATTTCATGTGAGTTATGGAACTTTATTTAGTTGTAAAGTGGTAACAGAAGTTTATTTTTTGTTTAATTTGGTCACTCCATTAAAACTGTTACTTTTTCTAGCAAAATGTCTGATGGGAAAGATCTTTGTAGACAATTATGTACATGTAGCACTTTCTTATTTGTAAAACTAACGAAGTACGTAAACTAAAGTGACCACTTTGAAACAAAAATGTAGTAAATGATTTTGATTCATTTACCTGAATTTCAATCAAAATTTGAGAATATGTGTAGGCAAATGCAATATCGCCGAGAGCTCTGAACATTCTCCACGTCTTTTCAGCTGCCGATATGCTAATTCCGACTTCCACACCTGAAAGTGTGGTTCCTTTTCCTTCGCCTGCCAATATCACAAACCTTTGTTACCAGTTATATGTGGTACTAAGAGTATTTTTGGCTAGGCTTGAAACGTGTTTAGATATGTTAATTTTTTGCTTATTTGAATATAAAGAAATCATACCTGAAATGACTTTTGCAAATGCAAGTCCAACCCCAATAGAAGAATACCCAAAAGACATAAATGCTGCAACAACTGAGAGCATGGATAATTTGTGGAAATTGGGAATTTGAGACAAAAATATTTCCAATATTCCCAATGCAATCATATAGGGATTGTGAGAAACACTGCATGGAGCTTCATGACCTCGTTTGTGAAAGCAATCTGATTTTTGTATTGCCCTGAAATTATAACATTTATAAAATCTTGTCAATGAATGTCATTGTCAACTGAGTTCGAATTTCTCTTATTGTCATGAAACGTGACGTTGACAAAATATCATGAACAAGTCGAGTCAACTAGTATATGCAGTGACGTGTGTGCGTTTGTATGTAATTGACATCCACAGAGTTCCGATTATTGTATTGTCTTGACAAGTATCATCGATAAAATCTCGTGAATGAAACGAGTCGAGTTGTGTACACAGTTACGTGTGTGTTGATTATAATAATCACTATTAGATAGATGCGTTCTCATTCTTGTATTGTTCACAAAATACAACATTTTAAAGTCTAATTTATGTATTATTTAGAAATGTAATGTTGACAAAATATTGTGAACAAGTCGAGTGCGCGAATAATCACTATACTTACGCCATGCTTATTGATGCAGTGATTGTATATCCAATAATCATGCCACATAGATTGACATATTGAACCATTCCACAAGCCATGTACATTCTTCCACCTGATTAATTCGATGTCAAAATAGTTATAAATAAATAGTTTCTCTTATTTTTTAATTATCTAAAACTCCAAAATAAGTCGATCGACGATATATTTATTTAACACGAAAATGAAGCGTTACCTAGGTTGTTTTTGACAGCTTCCATGTAAGTGTAATTTCTTTTTCCGGTGACTGGAGATCGATAACAATCGGATAAGAGATTTGAAGTATAATATGTGATGCCGGAAAAAACTACAAGAGTTGTTACTCCGGCTATCCATCCAAGCTGTGCCACCCCCCACGCCAGTGACAGGACACCGGAGCCGATAATTGCTGTAATTATGTGCGCACTTGCAGTCCAAACATTCCCTATAAAAGATGTTGACAAATTCACACATTCACTCAAACGTATTAAATAAGTATATATTTAATATCATATTTTTGTGTACTGAGATTTTATTTTGATTAAAGGTAAAAAAAAAAAAAAAAAAAAAATTACAATGGGCAATGGTTACATGTAAGCGAGCATGTTTAGCTAAGTTTTTAAAAATAGAAGTATTCAAACATGTTTAAATATTTTTTTTAAATAGGAAAAATAAAGATATTTTAGAAAAAAAAAATCAAAATAAGTATCTTGTTTATTGTCAAAATTAGATCTATAAAAAAGTTACCTATTTTGAAACTTACTTATTTACTTGTAAGTAAATTCACTTACAAGTAATATTTTGAAACTTAAAGATATATTTGACAAGTGTTTATAAACAATTATGCTTATAAACAAATAAAAATTAAGTGCGTATAGAAATATTGAAATAAATTTAAGGGAAAATTGCAGCAGAAATTCCAAACCTTTGAAACATTAACAGACTTTTTCCAAACATTTCATTTGTTACAACCGTCACCCCTAACATTTTCAAACGTTGCATCAGAGGCCCCTTTGGATGGTTTCCGTCAAAAATTTCGTTAATTGACCATCAAACTATACTTTGACCACCTTTTAATCAATTTTAGAAGGGCAAAATGGTAATTTTCTATTATCACAATAAACAATTAAAAAACTAAAATAAAAAACCAAAAACCATAAAAAATAGAAAAAGAAAAAGAAAAAGAAATGGTTCTTCTTCTTTACTCTTGTGAACTTAAACTCCCAAAACACTTTCACACCCACAGAACACCATAGATAAGATTTAAATTAAACCAAAATTTCAAGAAAATCAGGCATTTTCTGTATTGCCCACTTCGTTTTCTCTGCCAAATGTACAAATTTCGAGAAAGTCAAGAATTATCACCGGCGCTTATGCTTCAGCCCAGCTTTTAACGCAAGTTCATCGGAAAATGAGCCGAAAATCGACGATTTGGGTGGTGTTGAGATTGAAGAATTGCAACCAATTGATGTGATAAATTGGGGATTATTGTGGAAGCTGATTTCATGGAACAAGTTGAGACCCATTGCTTGGATTCTCAGTCAACCATTTCTTTTCTTTTTTCTTTTTTTATGGTTTATGGTTTTTTATTTTAGTTTTTTAATTGTTTAATGTGATAAATAGAAAATTACCATTTTGCCCTTCTAGAATTGATTAAAAGGTTGTCAAAGTTTAGTTTGATGGTCAACTAACGAAAATTTTGACGGAAACCATCCAAAAGTGCCTCAGATGCAACGTTTAGAAAGGTTAGGAGTGACGGTTGCAACAGATAAAAGGTTTGAGAAAAGTCTGCTAATATTTCAAAAGTTTAAGACTATTGCTGCAATTTTTCCTAAATTTAAAATTATAATAGTCAACACTTACAAGTAATCTTTTGAAACAAACATATATTTGACACATGTTTATAAACGATTATGCTTATAAACAAATAAAAATTAAGTGTGTATAGTACTTGCATCGATCCAACGAAATATTGAAATAAATTTAAAATTATAATCGTCAACGTGCATGCAATTTGAGCACGTTAATTTTTTATTTTTTACTATCTTTTGTTAGAAAACCTGCATTTTATCCATCAAATCATCAAATATCGTATTTAACTTTATTAAAAGTAAACTTTACTTTCCTCGTATCATTTTTTTTTTTTTTTTTTCCTCACCCCCACACTCGTAAGTCGTATCACCTTTTCGTCCCACCTAACATGTTCCCTTTCTTTCCACTCTACAAGTGGCTGAGAGACGTGGGACCAGTGAACTGAAATATGAGATTTTTTATATGATATTTTTATTTAAAAAATATTAGTATATTTTGTATTTGAAATAAAATCGTACTTAAATTCTGTCCACACTGAGTACGAGCCAGAGCTCCACCACTGCTCAACCAATTCACAATGACGTGAAAGTTGCGAAAATAGAAACGAAAACTCTACAAGGAACGAGGCAAAAGAAACGAAAATTGTTATATTTCATTTTCTCTATAATTTGGTCATACTTCGGAAGAGAAAATTGGTTTCCCCACTTTTTACGCTCACCGCCGCCCATGCACCACCACTAGATAGTCAGCCTCCCAGTCCCACCATCCACTAAATCTCTTCTGGAAACAGTAAATGATATTTATACTACCAATACATAATTAATATGGTCATAAATAATTAAATATGGTTTCAAAAATAATTGATAATCTATATATTTTGTGTATGTTTAATATAGATTTTTAGCAAATAAAGTAGATAAAAGTTAGTAAATCCCATAAAATATGCAATTAAAAGTGAATAAAATTTGTGGATGGAATAAAATATGTGATGAAAAATAAAATTTGACTAATTTTATCAGATTTTTAATAAAAAGTAGCTCTACCAAATAAGCTCGTCTTGAATTTTCATCTTCAATATTTTCGTGCATGTTAGATTTTAATTAGAATTCACAATTTCCTAATCGGCCAAGGATTGCAGTTTCTACTACAAAGTTCAAAGACAAACGTCCTTCCCTCCCCTCTAAAAAATAATAGTAAATAAATAAATTATAGCACCTCGACATGTCCATGGTCTAACTAATGAAGTATGATCCAAGACACAGAAACAATTTAGCAGAAAATTTGATTCTTTTTTATGTGGTATATTATGAAGGACAAGAGGTTTGTACCATCTTATAGACATAGTAGACTATATCAATATTAGGTTGAGTTTTTCCATGTCAAATTACAAAAACAGAAAAATAAATGGATTTCAAGAAAACTAGCTTTCAAGCTCTGGAAATACAGTAACGCTGGTGCGAAATGGCCACCGCACGCAATGAAGCGCAGCTAAACGGTAAATTAATTAGAAGATGAAAAAGTTCAGAAAAAATAAATACCTTTTCTTGTGGGCTTTCCATCATCATCTAACTCTGCAATATTTGCATCCTTCTGAATCTCCAAGCCGGATTCATCCACATCAGCCTGAAAATTCTGGTTCACAAAGTTTGCCATTTTCTGTTTCCTGTTGGGAAGAAGCCGAAAAGAACCGTTCGTTCTTTAATTTTCTCTTCCACTATAGATAGATGCTAACAAGAAAGTTAGCTCATTTTTTTTATAATCAAGGAAATGGAGTATAAAGAGACTGTGTAGAGGCTATAAAAGCTTGGTTTTTGGTTCTTGAACTAAGATTTTTATGGTCATGGCAAGTTTTGGGGAATACTTATAGATAGTGTGCAATTTACAATGAGAAAGTTGGGTTGTTCATCGTCACTTACAGATTGATGTACATACATATGATATGGTAAGATTATAATTGGGTTAGAAAAATTTCGACCAAATCAAAATATAAAATAACTTCTCCACGCTCTTTTTGATACCTCATATATCAATAAAACATTCTGAAACTCTTTATGTACAAGTAGCATTATTTTATTTCTCATTGGATATCATAAGATTAGTCATAGATAAAAAGTGATTGGGTTGACTAGTGATCTAAAGTGGTGCTCTCAAATGAAAAAGCAGAAGGAAATTGTGTCGCCCCATTTGAGTCCCATTTTCTTAAAAAATTATTTTTATTCAAATTTTCCCATAAAATAATTTTACACGTAAATTCAAAAATTTTTCCTTTTTTTTTTTATTATACATTCTCTAAAAAATCACTCTTTTAAAACAAATTTCCCCTCCAAAAAATGTAGCTCAAACGGGGATGTGATATACGTGTATATATGCGAGTATATGTGTATTTATTAAACTACAAGGTATTAGCAGTCGAATCCTTAGGATCTGAATTTATAAACTACAAGGTATTAACCCTCTAAATTTATAAATGCTCTTCAACTTATAGAATATACTCTTTAAAAATAAGAAATCTTTTGGAAATACACTATATGTGACCAGTAGGGAGTAATTCAAGCATATTTATGTATGATACAACTTAATTAATTATGGGCAAACACCCTTGGACATCCAGGGGGTTGTGTGGCGCCCCCTATTGGACAGATGCAATCCCATTAAATACCCGACTACCTCTTTGGAAGGTTGTAATTAAAGATTGAAGGCAAGCGCAAATAAAACTCTCATTCTCTGCAACTTTCTATTATTTTTTGAAGGAAATTTATTTCATGAATAATGTTATCTAACATTACCAAGTATAAGTGGTGAAAAAATCACCGATCTATATGTCATTATGTAATATATTCGATTAAATATAAAATTATGTGATTAATTTAATTGTACCTTGCACTTAATTACACTTAATACCATCTAAATTGATATTGTGATACTGATGGTGCTAAATAACTCTATTCTTATTTTCTAGTATCAAAATGGATGAGCTGGTCAATCGTCTCTTGGAAGATTGTAATTAGATTTGTGAAATGATTGTGCCAAAGATGAGTCCGAGCTTGACGGCTTGCACACCGCTTCAACCTGGTCCATGTGGGTTTTCATTTTCAGGTTTTTAATTATTACTACTATTATTTTTTTTCAACTAGAGACCGTGAGAATGCACAAAACATTAGGTCGAACAACTCCGATATGAGATTTATAATTTCAAAATATCTCTCGTGAGTACATTATATTTATTTAATTTATTTTTATCAAAGATTAGTGATTTTTTCCACAAATGGTAACAAGGAAATAAAAACTCTCAACTTGTGCATATACTCTAATACCACATTAAATCATCTAATTTAAAAGCTTAATTAGCATAATATAGAATCAAAATTGGGGTGCCATAAATTATATGGTACTTTCAAAGAATTAATTTTATACCCTAAAGTGGAGGGCATAATTTAAAAAAATTTCCCATCGTTTTTCTTTGTTTGATAAGTGCCACCTAATTTCTTATTGCATGGACTATCCCAAAAGGATTTTCTTCACACTTTGGCCATTAAAGAACAAGCAAATCTACTGCAGTCAAATATAAGATTTAGAAAATAAAAAAATACACTAGCTAAATCTACTCACTTCAACTTCATTTCACTAATTTACAAGTATAGGTTGACTTATCTCTTTGAGTGACTCGATTTTGAAACTCATTCGACGAGACATAAAATCGTGCAACATAAATTTGAACTTTAGGATGTCTAGCACTCGTAAAATATATTTGATTCCAATAATAATGTTGTTGTTATTATTTACTGAAATCAAATTCACGAGGACACTTTTCTAATTACGTACTTTATCATAGTTTCATAAATATAATCAATTCTTCACGACAATTCCACCTATGATCTAGCAAGTCTTCTTTCACTTGAATTATTGCATTTTAAGAATATGTGTGTATGATGCGAACATGGACGACTCCTTAATGAATTATTGGACAGATGCAATCCAATTAAATTGTCCCAACTACCTCTTTGGAAGGTTGTAATTATATTAGAGATTGAAATGTTGAGCAAGCCCTGATGAGCCTCGCTAAAGACAGACAAACCATCCATTAACTCGACACATCTCTCGTGCACATTTTTATTTGTATTTTACTCAGACTAATATATGATTTTTTTTTTCAAAAATAGTAACAGTAAGGCCAATTTGACATGATTTTTGAAAAGTTAAAAAGAGTTTTGAAATACAAAAGTTACTTATAAACTAATTTAGCTAATTTTATGAAGGACCACGCTACACGACCCGCGCGGTTGACCGCACACACACATATCCGAGCGGGTGACCGCACACACACATACACATGGGGTTGACATTTTTTTATTCGGGTGGGACCCGTGCACCATGTGAGGGTGTGGTCATCGGTGCGGTGAACGGCGCGGATCGTTTAGCAAAATTCTTTTATGATAGAGCTTCTTCTAGTTTGAAGAGCTATTAGAGGAAGCTAATACAGTGTAGCTTCCTCTAAAAACACTTCTAAAATAGAAAATTCTTTGAAAGTTAATTTCAAAATAGAAATTAAAGTAATTTCTTTCAAAAATTCTTCTATAATAAGCAAAAATCATGTCAAACGACCCTATAAACACGCAACTTCTACATATATTGTCTTGGGACCATCCCGCTTGGTCCTAAACTAAGAAAGGTTTACTAATTTAGGATTTAAGAAATACAATGGGTCCTGGAATCAAAATTTGGATGGTTCAAATTAAGGATACTTTAAATTATAGGGTACCCTACTTAATAAATTTTAACTAATTACTAATTTTTATACACAAAAGTGGAGGGCATAATTTAAATATGTTTTCACATCATCTTTCTTATTTTGATAAGTGCCATCTAATTTCTTATTGCTATGGCCTGTCCCATAAGGATTAACTTCAAACTTTTGCTTTTTAAAAGAAACAAGCAAATCTACTGCAGTCAAAGATAAGAATTAAAAAATAAAATAAAAATAAAAGACTGTAAAGTTTCAAAAAGTAATTATTCCACATGTATAATCATTAAAAGCACAATTTCTTCCTTTATAAAACATGCTGTGTTTGGCCAAGCTTAAAATAATGAAAATTATTTAAAAAGAAAAAAGAAAAAGGAACTACTTTTTCACATTTTCAAGTAGTAAGTAGGCTCCCGTTTGACCTCCATTAATTTTCATTCTATTACATTTCATTTTTCTCTCTCATATTTTCAATTACATAATCTTCCATAAAATAATACTACATATAAACCAAAAACTTTTCATTCTTTTTCAACCACTCATTTTTAAAAAAAAATAAATTATTCCATCTATTTTCATTTCCACAAAATGGGAGCCAAACAAGGGTTAAATAAATAAATGTTGATATAAATAATATTTTTATCAGTAAAAATTGTTCTAAGTACATTACTCTTTCTAAAATGTCGTGAGTTGTTTAAAAAAAGTAACCTTTTTATTTACATGTAAGACCATGCCCCTGTTTGTCATCCTTTATTCTACATTTTTTCACATTATTTTTCTACAATAATCATTTTTAATCACACATTCTTCATTAAAATAATATTATACGCAAATAAAAAATGTTTCCTTCTTTTTTAACCATACATTCTCCATCAATCACTATTCTATAATAAATTTCTTCAAATTAACGGGGCTCAAATAGGGCCTAATTTATTCAGGCATGTTTTGAAATAAAGAGTTACTTTCAAAATTGAAAAGAAGTAAATTACTAGTTTTAATAATAATTAGTAAATAATTTATCCAAATCCGTTTAGAAATTATTACTAAGCTTAGCCAAAGGTATAAGATAGACAAGAGTTGAGAAACAATTTATTAGGGTGTGTTTTTTTGGTTTGTTTTCATGAAAATCTTCATTTTTCTACCCAAGTTCCTATTTTTTGAGTGTTTGATTGACATTTTTTTCATGAAAAATAAAAGTTAGTCTCGTGACCATATTTTTTTTGAAAACAAGAAAAATATTATCTTTTATATGGAGATATGTTTTTATTTTCTTAGACAATTAATACTTTCCAGAAATTCAACTTTATGAAAAAATACGACATTCGCTAAATTGAAAATTAAGTAATTGTTGACACACCAAAAGTGCAGCCCAAATCGAATAGCTCAGGGAATGAAGCCCAATTGAGGAATCTCCAAATCAAATAACCCAAAGAATGAAGTTCAACTGGGCAATTCAGGATAAAGGCCCAGATAGGGTTATTAATGAATGTAGTGGAAGTCCACGAATACAGTAAAATCATCGCCCAAGCTTGCAAGACGCCCAAGATCTGAGTGAATGAAGTGCCTTACAGTCGCCCAGAGCTATGACCCTGTTCTCGCCCAAACCTTCGAATCGCCCAAGATCTTAACAAACATAAAATGTTATGGTTATCCAGAAGTGCAGTTATTGAAACAGTTATCGAGTAACCTTATCACGTTCCACGGTTCAAGGAGTTCAGTTGAAGACGGTTGAGCGACAAGGAGTAGTGGCAACAGTTAGAGACGGCAGTTCCACGACAAATTAGCCACCATAAAGAAAGTGGGTAGTTATAAAGCAATCAAGCAGTTTCTAAGCGGTTGATCACGAAAAAATCATCAAGGGAATATAAAAGGAAGAGAAGACATAGAGCAAAGGACCCCGAATCAAGCACTCTCAAATAGAGAATATGTAATTTCAATTTCTTAGTTTAGACTTAAACATTTCTTTTCAGTACTTGTGTGCTTGCGCCCCTTGGAGGCATTCTGTTTAATTCTAATTGTAAAGTCATCGCCAATAAAACACTCCTTTTTAGGACTTTGTCTCAAGAGGTTTGTTTCTTACACAATCGTCTGATCCCTTTTTAATTGTTAGCGACTACCCGCGTGAAACAATTTGGCACGCCCAGTGGGACATTGGTGTTTAGTGTTGGAGATACAAAAGGTGAAACAATATGCCTCAAAAATCTGATAAGGAAGCAAGT